TGACTCGACCAACAGAATATGGGTGAATATTAGTTAAGTTTGCATTTACGATTGAAAAGTAGTAATAAAATAAAGAAGAATATTTAAAATCACTTATAAATAATACCAAACATTTGCATAAATTTGAACATTTCGAAAAATTTCGGTGTAGAAGTAATCAGTCTTATTCTACTAGACGCGTCGCACATAAAAATGGGTAAGATAACAGATTTGCTATTCTACTAGACATGCGTCTCACTATTCTCACTATGATGTTATTCGGCTGGACGAATTTTTGAGAATTGTCACATTTTTTTTTCATATTTAGTCGCGTGTATTTAGTTGGTGATAGAGATTTGATTCATTCCAGTGTAATAGTAAACGATCGACAGTAATTTCAAATTTTCTTAATTTTCTTCATCACTTTTACTTCTGATTTTACCAAAAACCAAAAAAAGTTCGAAAACATTTTTCTTTCTTTAATTTACTATTTGTTTTTTTTTTCTGTCACCAGTTTATTTAAAAATAATTTTTTAATCTTTCAACATCAAAAAATTTGGGGTCTCTTTTGTTACATTACATTTCGCCAGATTTTACATTTTTTTGTCACATCACATTTTTCTAGAATACTAGAAAAATGTGATGTGACAAAAAAGATGTGTCAGTCACAACTGTGGCATGTCTAATAAAATAAGGCTGAATATAAAACCTGAACAAAAAGGTGTCCCAAAACTCAAGCAGGATTTGAATTTTGCGACATTTGTGCGGTGAAGGGTTGTCAACTAAAAAAAAAACAGCCTGATAGCCGACAGTTCAGAGTTACTAAAAATGAAGCGCCACTTAAAAAAAAACAGCGCACTTTTATTATTGAGCAACATTTTGTAAATAATGAAAGTTCTTCGAACAAAATCATCTTCAGCGATGGGGTTTATTTCCATCTTTATGACTTTGTTAATCGACAAAATTGTCGTATTTGGAGTTTAAAAAATCCACAAATGATTGTTGAAAAAAAAAATGCATCCACGACGTGTCATTGTTTGGTGTAGATTTTTCATTTGAGGCATCACTCGCTATCAAAACATGATAATTCAGTTTTTTGTGTCCAAACAGCCCGAGAAGCAATTCAATTACCGCATGAGTCATTTCATGGTCGTGTAATTTCCCATTTTGGTGATCAGAATTGGCTGCCCACATCAGGCGATATAACACCGTTGAATTTTTTTATGGGGTTTTTCGAAGTCTATTGTTTATGTCAACATGCCCACGACCACCTATGCCTCAAAGGAGGAAGCTGATCGCTGTATAAACGAAATTCAGCGACATTTATGCAAAACAATTACTGAAAATTTCAGCAAAAGTTTGTGCCAGCAAAGTCGTGGAGGCCATTTACTCGATATGCTATTCCATACATAACCCTATACAGCATACTATATAAATCAATAAAAAATTTACAATTGTAAGTTCTTATTGATTTATATTGCAATAAATTAATTATAAACCTGTGTTTTCTATCAAAATTACTTCGTGCGGGAATTTTGGGACACCATTTATATTGATCATGTTTAATTATACCATGAGGTGAGAGGGAGAAGTATCGCTAAAAAAAATTCTATTTGTTTTGAACGTGAAAGAAAAAATTAAAAAAATGAATTGAATTTTTACTCATAATCTTATTTTATTTTTTTTTTGTTTCAACTTTACATATAATAACTAATGTTAATGAAATAAAATAATAAAATAATAATAACTTTTTAAAAACGTTCATGAATTTATTTACACTTAAATTAGTTTATTTACATTTCTTTACTAATGTATACAGTTATATGAACATAATGTAATGTGTGGTTATACTCCATAGTTAGGGATAATTTTGCAGAGTTAAAGAAAATTGGGTTGAAAAAAATTTTTGTCAGACAAATATCCAAACTTTTGATCATAAACAATCAACAGAAAAAAACTCTCATTAATCTGATCAATTACAAATATTGTATAATTAAACAGTGGCAGATTAAATATGATTAGATCATTTTACGGACTAATACGTAACTCAAAAGTAGCAATTCCATACAAAAATTCAATATAATTAGAAAAAACCCTTGATTCTTGTTTGAGGACTATGGTCCCTAATAGATTAATTTTATGGGAGAAAGTTTACTCAAGTTGGTGACATGTTCTTCCAAATTACATCTATATACAAAATGTTATTAGCCAGATTAACATTTTAAATTAAAGTTACGAATATTTGTAAATAAATATTTGGGCAAAAAAAAAGGGGTTGGTTCACATACTTATATTGCGGCAATGAATTTAAGTAATAATATATCATCCTTTTTTGATTATTATTGAAAGTTGAAAAATTAACAAACTAAAAATGTTTAATATTTTGTACATGCATGTACATTATATACATAGGTATATTTTATAATGTAATTGTACTCAAATCAAATTAAAATACATAATTATAACATTCTTTTTCAAAATACAAAGTTTGAGTTATTCTTCTAACAATAACAATTTGTCAATATTTTATTGTAACTACTCATTTTATTACAAAAAAAATATTTAATTAAAGTTCTTTTGGTTTAATTTCAATTGTTTAGTCAATTTTTAGTTAAAATAACATGTGAAAATTTATTTACACAAATGAATTTATTTTACGCCGGTAATATTGTACTGATGATGATGAAAATTGCACCTGCTAATAAAAACTTTTAACAAATGAGATGAAAGAATAAGAAGCTATTTGACCATCACCTGTGTAATATTCAGTAACATTCTGAATATTCATTTTATCTACTCATCAAATTTCCTTTATCGCATTTACAAAATTTATGTGGGAAAAAATTGATTCATATTGTTTATACTCACTCATCTTATCATTTATTCAATCATCATCATTGCCAATGTATTCTTTTAAACCCACTGGCAAAGTTATTTTTTCATTTAGAACAAAAAAATAAATTATTAAATTTATAACGTACAGGAGTCTAAAAAGTAAATTTATTGCCAGGACATTTTTTGTTCTTCATTGTTTTTTAATATGACATCTTTTTTTGGTTTGATTCTTTTTACGTTCTTACGTAAGCACATATTTATATTTATAATGTTATAGCAAAAATAAAGAATAAAAATTTAATAAAAACGAAAATTTATTGAAATTATACGCGAAATAAAAATAAAATACACATCATACGTTATGAAATAAAAATTTGGAAGATTATGTTTTCGGTCTCTTTTTTTTATCTGATCATAAACTCTATATTCTTATATTAGTGAAGTATCTTGAACACATTTACAAATGTTTGAATATGTGCAGTTTTGCATGTGAAGTTTTCATTCTGTTATTTTGCTTTCCAAGAGTTTATAACGATTGTATCGGGTGTTTTCTTAGAAGAAAAACAAAAAAAAAAGCGAAATAATTACTTAAAGCTTACTTTTTAAGTCTCGTAATTTTCGAATCGCTGTTCTATCATTGATTTTAGCCTTTTTCCCAAAATATCTGTTGAAGGTGTTATTAAACAACAAAATGTATTCTATTCTTCTCTCATCAAAGAAGAGAAAAGGTGAATTTAAAAATAACGCGGACTAATAAAATTAACCAACCAAACCTCGAATGAATGCCAGTCAGGAGAATGTCAAAAGAATATAACAGACTCCCGAAAAGAGATTGTGTTGGCTGATTTGATGTTGACAGATCTTAAAACTGATACCCTTATTATGATCAGCGAATGCTTTCATTCGCCAGATCCAAAATATTGCTACCGCAAGACGTCAAAAAACTTACCCAAAATAATGAGGTTAACACCATACATATGTACATTGTTTTTTGAAAAGAAGAAACAATTTGATTGTTCCCATTCCTTTAGTAATATCGGAGTTGTTCTCCATTAATTTAATTATATCTTGATTTTTTTTGGTTCGTTTTTTTCGCGCTTAAATCAATATTAAACAATCAATATTTTTTACAATAATTTGTAGAATTTGTAGAATTTTATGAATTCCATTTCATCACTATAAATTCTATAATATTAAATAAAACAAAAACACTTACATAATATGTATTATTTTGATTTTTGATTTGACGAATGAAAAATTTAGGCGAATTCGCTAATAACAATACCAAAAATTTCATTCGCTTCTCCGATCATAATAAGGACCTGAATTTTACTTCTGTCAGCGTTATTCTTTCTTTAAAATTTATGCGACTTTAAAATAATGTCTTTAAAATTTATTTATGATAATTAAAATATTAACTAGCATTGATTCCTCCATGCCACTTTATAATTCTAGCTTTATATTGGCAGCTAATTTTCATTCTGACAATATGTGAGTAGATCTTTCAAAGCTACACGAAAATAATCTACTTTTTGCAGAGTTGTCATAAAAAAGCACTACATTTTTAGATCTAAGCAAGATTTGGCAACATGATCCCAACCATTGTCTGATTTAACCGAGTCAGATTTTACAGTTTGATTAAAAAAGAAGAAGTCTGAAATATTATATTGATTTTTATTTTAATATCTAATTACAACAGAATAAAAAGAAAATAAATGAGTATCGTGTATATTCGTATAATGTAATTTAAATATAATAAAAAGTGAAAAAAATTTTATCTAGCATTTTGTTTGAGGCAAGTCCAGTTGTTATAATTTTTTATAAAAACTGCATAAATATTGATAATTACAGAAAAGCGTTTTAACATATTGTAAATTTTAGGTACGATGCCATAAAACATTTAAACAGCCAATTAAAAAATAAAATAGGACTGCGAATTTTGACAACTAAATAACACTTTTATATCAGTATAAAAATTAAAACATCTAAAAAAAACATCCTTTATTATCGTCGATTTCTGTACATATTTTCTATATATATTCGGCTAGTTTTTTTTTCGAAGCAATTTAGGTTTTTGCAACAATAACATATCATTTCTTTAAGAATAAAAATAAGATAACAAAAAAAGTATGAAAAAGAAAATGATACAAAAAAAATCGTTATATTCATATTATTTTACTTTATATTTATTTTCGTCCTCCAGCTCCTCCAGCTACACCGTTATATTGCTCCATTATATATATGTCACGTATTAATCTTGATATGGGAACATTACCAATAGTTTCTTTAAAAAACAGTGCCTCAATTGTTGATGCACGTATAGTTTTTAAAGACGGTAATAATAAGAGTAAACGTCCAAACCTTGTTGGTTGTCTATTATAACGAACTCTAACATGGTCAGATAATATACATTGAGCTTGATCCTGTAACATTTCAACTGGTTGTATATCACATAACCCTGGAGTTTCTGGAGCAAATAATGATATAGCTTTCATACATCCAACTTCACTACCATCTGGTGTAATTTGGCGAAATCGACATAAAATTTCTTGAATAGTTTTCATTTCAGTTTGTGTTGCTTCATCCTGTAAAACTCTTTCTTTAATCAAAGGACTCTCTAGGATAGGTGCTAAGTCAAGTGGAATACTCCATTGAGCAAAATTTAAAAGAAACAATTCTTTCCATGATTCCTGAAATTAAAAATTTTTAATTTTCTTATATAAATCTATCAGAAAAGCTACAATTATTTAAATATATTTACGTAAACATACATGTCTAAGAAAATATAAATTATGTATATAAATACGATACAATTGGTTTTTCAATCACTTGGTTTTATAATTATTTAAATTTGCTATTTATTTTTACCTGTAATAATAATTGTTGATCATTTTTTGACAGAGTTTGAAAAGGCATTAGGCATCGTACCCATCGTACTGCCATAAATAATAAACGTGCCGTTGTTTCTTGCAACATTTCCCAAGAAAACATTCGGGAATCTATACCAGCTACTAAACTTTGAGGTAATGGTGGAAACAGAATAGCATTGGAAACTTGATATTGAATAATTTCTTGGCATTTATCCTGCCCTAGTATGATTTCTAAAAACCCGTTTTGTGTATTTTGACTATTAATACTGATATTTTCAGCTGCTGTTGTGGATGCACTAGATGATATAGTGTGACTGTTTAATGGTGGTGTTGTTGAGGGTGTTGTTTCAACATTCAATTTCGGGCTGCCAGTGCCTTCTGACAGTGGACCACCAACACTTGATATACTTTGAATTGTATGACTGGGCGATGATGAAGACGACAGTTGTGTTTGAATTCCAGATGATTTATAAAATTCTCCACTTCCACCTGTTGATGTTGATGTTAAATCAAAGGATGGAACTCTATCTGATTGCATTTTTGCCGAATCTATAAGGCTTGGGTGCATTTGAGGTAAAAATGGTGGAAATGATATTCCTGGAGGGGGTGGTGGAACATGTCCATGCATATTCGAATGGCTGTGATGTTGTGATAAAGCTGGATGATGTGGTGCAGGTGGTGGAGGCGGTGGGGGTGCGTGATGTGGAAAACTTGAAGCAGCTGCGGTATTAATATGTGACGTATAATTAAACGATGCAGAAACATTTGTTACTAAGGAAACTGGCAAGTGCGGTGCATTTGGATGCCCATGATGCATCTGATGATGGTGGTGATGGTGATGATGATGATGACCATTATGACTTTGATGTAATTGCGGATGGATTTTTGGTTTTCTTGGTCCTCTCTCATGTTGTACAGCTGGAAAAATAAGACAAAAAAGGAATAAATGAGAACAATATTTTTTTAATTACAAAAAACTGTGATTTTCCATTAAAATTCGTAGAATTACAAAGTGTGTAAAAAATTTTTCAAATGAAAATAAAGCAAAACAAAAATTTCCCTGCGGGGAACATCAAAAAGCAATTTTCTTCATTTGTTCTTTTTTCGATGTGTTTGCTTTTTTTGTTTTATTTAGTTTTGAGGTTGTCTTTGCCTTTTTTATATTCTACTGAAAGGAATTTATGCTGATTATGTATACCCTCATAATTTTTCAACTGAAAAATAATTTTCCGCATTATTCAGCATAAAATCGCTTTGCGACAATTTAATTTTTATTTACATTTATTTATATACATGTTGGGTTTCAATTTTTGGAGAGAGAAAATGCTTGTATTCAATTCAGCATTTTTAAGAAATTAACTGTTTAACTTCAATTTAAAGTAAGAAAAAACTTCCTTCAAAAATCGTGCAAAGTCGGCATCTTAATTTATTCTTCTAATTTAGGAAATGTTTATTTTATAAACAAGATAAGATTTAAATAATATAAATTTTTAGATACATATATAATGCACTCTTCCTTCAGTATTCAACTCTGTACTACATAAGAAAAAATAAATTTGGGTTACAATGTTAAAGGCAACTTGAAACGGTCGGCATTACAGGTACATATAACGTTTCTTTACAAAAACATCCTTGAAGTTGAAAGTTATTCTACATTTAAGCGCTTTTGCAGTGGAAACCGATGTTTTCCAGTTGTTTAAGGTTTAGAATACATAAAATATTATGTCTTGGGACTGAATTGTTATGGTTTATTACTAAATGGGTATAGTAAATTACTATAAGAAAACTTTCATATTATAATTTTTTTTTCTTTAAAATACGCCAAACTAAGTAGATTTTTTGCCAAAAATTAGCAGACTGAAAAATAACATCAATTAATTGAAATTGTCTTATAAAGCAACGATCCTTTTTAAAGCTTACTGGATTCATATTAGAATATAAAAAGATATAAAAAGTTCTTTTTTAAGCCTGATATTCACTTATCTTTCATTTTTCCGAAAAAAAAATTTCAAGAAATTTATTTTTCCAAAATAAAAAAAATTTAATATAGAAATAATAAGATAGTCCATTTTTACTATTTAGGAAGAAGACTTCCCCGTATACATGATTTTGGAAGCCTTTTTTAATTTTCTTTGATTTGAACATTATTTTGATGTGTTTTAAATGAGTAAAAAATTTTTCAACAGTAGATATATTTTTTGTCGAGATGAATATGCTGTCTATATAAAGTACACTCGACCATCGTTTTAGGGAACTAATAAGATTCGGGAATGCCGTCCGTAAATCGAATCTTTTTGCTTACATTACATTACAACCACATATTTTTTTACCTAAACTTATATAAGTATACACATGTATATTTTTTTTTTTTGATTTGCAAAAAATAAAGTAGGGAAATAAATTCTTTGCATTATTTTGCTCTGACCTCTGTTTCTTATAAAACATTAGAGTGCATATGATTTTTATGTATCTATAAAATATTGCACGTTATATTTAAACAAAAAATTCCTAGAAATAAGTTTTTCTTATAAGAATTGTAATTTTTTAGACTACTTTTTTTTACATTTTAAAAATTTTACGTAAATCGAATTTTCTTTTCCGTAAATAGAGACTTTGGTTTAATTTTTGAATTTCATAAAAACGAAATTCCGTATAGGAAGCTTCCGTTAAGCGAGGGATGAATGTAATTAAAAAACAAAGTAATGATTTCTGGGCTACAGAATTTTTATTTATTATAACACTACGGACATGATGAAGTATATATGTCTGCTCATAATATAAATATGCATATAAGTATTTAATTAATGAGATATAGATTTTTAGAAGTTGTTCTTAAAGAAAGGTAATTTATGTATGTACATATATGTATATGAATGTATACGAAAATACATAAAATCATATATGGATTATAAATTTATACTTCTACTGTTCTACTGTATTGCCCTTTTTTCCCAACAACTCGTCAAACTGAAAACATCTGCTCCTAATTCCACACATTTCAGGTAAAATCATATTTTCACGCTTAATTTTCCACCCACGATATCAACATAGATCATCATATCATCATTCGTATTTTATCGTGTCAATAGCATTATCGCTATTATATGAATTGCCCCCTTAATTTCGCTCAAACACAATACTGGTTTTTCTATAACTATGTTACTGTAATTCTTATATTATGTTTATTATATCAAATGTACTATAGTCTGTTTTTATATTGTATTAATTTGTGATTTTTAAGAAATCAATTTAAAAATAAAAACATATTTAATTTATATTTTCTAGTAAAAATCAAATAATGTGATTTCCCCCTCGTAACATAATAACCGCTGAAAGTATTAGAAAATTTAACTAAATATAAAATTTCATTTTTATTCTAATTGAAGTGAAAATTTTGGTATAAGTATACATACAAGTTTGTTCGTGTACATATATATATATGTATATACTGGATTTTATATACATACATAATACATAAAAATAATCCAATTTTAGATCCTTTTGTATTTTTGAATAGCAAATTTACGAAAACATTACGGCAGAACGAATCTAGATTGCTTTAGAGAATAAAACAAAATTAGCTAAAAAAAATACAATAAAAATAAACAAATTGTAACCACTTTTCTTATAAGGATATTTCATCTTAAGTATTACCATTATCGCGCATCATTGCATTATTACCACCACCCCCGCTATTTAGTAATTTTCATTTATATAGAAGCGTAAATGCGTGCGAATGTATGTGAATAAAAAAATTATTTATTATTTTTTCTCTTATTTATTAAATTATTGTTCACCTTAAGCCACATTTATAAATTGGGGCGCTTTTTTTCATACGGATATCATGTCATTTTTCAATTTCTTCTTTATACATACATTAATTTTTTTCCTGATTCCTTTTTTTTACCGTGTTTTATTTATATAGTACAGGAAATCGTCTAATATTTTAACTTTGACTGCCTGTATATCACGCTTGAGTCATACACATTTAAGTGGCATTAGTGTCACATTACAAATAATTTATTTTTGAGCTACAATCTTTTATCTATTGCTAATTATAACGGCTCAATAGCTATACTTTTCAATTTTTCACTTTTTTTATTTGTTCATGCAATTATGTTATTCACGAAGATTCATATATTGTGCAGAGCAATATTGTAAAACTCAGTGAAAAATTAAAACAAGATTAATTTGACTATGAATTCAGTAACCAGAGTTAAATAGAGATGCTTCAGTAGATATTAAAGTATTTTTTATAAAGCCTGTTAAAAATTTCTAATTTTGTTAAAATTTACGGTTGTATATGTTTTTGTAATTCTTTTTTCATAATATTTAAAAGCTATTCGAAAATAAACAAAAACGGGCGGTATAAAAAGGACAAACATTGTGCTTAGTTGTTATTTAATAATGATTTAATAAATTAATTAAATTTAAATTATGTTAATCTAAGAAAACTAAATTTTTCTATCTATAAATTTTCGGATATAACTGCTTTGTGCCTAAATTCGTAAGCGATAACTTCCTTTGAATTGAAATTTTAAAATTTTGATAACGGCATAATGATACTGCAATTACATTAGCCTTAGAAATAGTTACATTTTGAATTTATTGTGATAGATTCAGTTATAGTAAGAAATCATTTATTTATGCACGTATGTACATATGTTATACTACATTCATTTTTTAGGTATTATTTTGTAATAGAGATTGATACCTTTATTTTGTTTCGCTTTTAATACATAAAACAATTTTCTTTTTTCCTTTTTAAACAACATTCATAACATAGTTATGCGATTTCATTATTGTAATTTATGTTTACATACACGACATTTTTGTTCTTTTTTTAATTTATAGATTTTTGATTTGAAAAAAGCTGGAAAAAATAAATATAAGGAAAATATTTGCTTACAAAATTTCCATAAAGAAATAATCCAACAATTTATTCTAAAGAGAATAAATGGCGTTGAACAAAGTAATGGAATAAAATTTGTTCTGAATAGTTATTTGTCAAGGATTTTGAGTACATATAAAATAAATTCATTTAAAACGTTATATTAGCGCTTTTGAAAGAATTATTATTATGTAAGTGTCATAATAATATTTTAGAACTGAATTTATTATACAATATAAATAATATTTCATAAATGCTAAAGCGGTTCAATTCAATATTGTAAATAAGTATCGATGGAATTTTATGATCCAGTACCTTACATAACATAAACGAAACTTATATAACTCAAATCCAGTAAGTTGATTTGACTTATCTAAGTTTCGAAAGAAAATTAAAAAGTATAGTAAAAAAAAATACATATATCTATATAAAAATAAATAAAGAAAATTTTAGGTCAGCGGTTTCTTTCCTTATTGTTAGTTTGACAAATTTGCAGCTATAAACTAGAAATGTGTCTACTATCGAGCTACACATCTTAATGATTCAAAGAGTTGAATTTCATTCGTACCGACTACCGAGTATATATATTTCATAATTTATTAAACAGTAAAAATACTGTTTTGGAAATTTTACAGACTGTTTTCTTGTTAAAAAACGCAACAGCTTTCTCACTAGCAACTTTTTAAGAGTGCTTGCTATATAAAATAAAGTTGGAGCAAACCAATGTTTTGTAAAGAATCACTTTTCTCCTAAACAGGTGAAAATATAATTATTTTCATCAATATACACAGTAAAATATTTCAAATGATCGCATATATTTAGCATTAGACAAAAAAAGAAGGCGTTATTATAATGGTCGAATTCAAGGGTTATGGCGTGAGTAAAAATAAATAATTACTGTAAAGCCCGGTTAACTGCCTCGCCTATTTTGTCGTAAAAATTAGGCAGCTATGTCAAAAAAGCAATTCAAAGAATTCTCTTAGCTGCACAATTGATGCACTAAACAGAACCCGTTTAACTGCCTTAA